AAGGTTTATAAGGGAGACTAACACAGACTATGACTTGAAGCGCCATCGTCTGGGTCGGGCTAATCAAAAACTTTGCAGATATTGAAAGTGCGAGTCGACATTTGTATGTTCCATCTCCTATGAGACTTACTCACCATACCTGATCATTCTGCTACTTCAGATCTGGGGCATGGTACGAAGCCGGTTTGTCATGCACCGCTCGAGTTGTCTCTCGTAATAATAATCCGCCGAGCAGGAAACCCGCTGATGGTCGCTCTCATCAGTTTCTACGTTCAATGCTATTTTTGCTATAGATTGTGGGTTGTGTCGGAGAGGTGGTGGGTAGTTCTTCCCATTGTCCTACTGTGCATATTTGCTATCATCGCTGCTATATTGACCGTAAGTGTACTGACATGCTGAGGTATTCAATTCTCACTGTTTCAGGTTCAAAGAATTGTTCATTTCCAGCCCAGCTTGCCTTACTGGAGTAAGCGCTTCTTGACAATTTATCTGTGCCGACTAATCTTTCATTCTATCAGTGTCTGCTCATTTCGCAACCGTTTTCGGTAGGCATGATACTCTTTGTATGTACCTTGACTTACTCTGTCCTAGTCGCAGATGTGCTACTGGCGGCAACAACAACTTTTTTTCTCCTGAAGACACGGAGGAACGTTATGCCGCAGTCAGTCTCCTTGTCGAAGTTGACTCTGATGCATAGCCTGATGCCGCGTACGCTAGAACTGTAGGCATGATCAACGCACTGGTACGACTCACGTTCCAGACAGCACTGCCTGCCGTCATATGGTGAGCAAGCTTAGAACAGTGCCTTGCTCGGAATCACTCACACGGTGCAGCGCCCTTCTCACTCTGATCTGCGTCTACCTTCCGCCTGACGAACCTAGAGTCGCAAATACATTCAATCAAGCTCTACCCAAGCTGTACGCCATCAGTATGATGTGGACCCTCAACGCCCGAAAAGACATTCGTGTCTTTTACTACAGCGACTCGATCTCCAGGACGGAATCGCGGAATCAAAGGCCTACTATCACGGGTGGCTATTCAATTCAGGTTGCTACTCGTACGGAAGTCCTCCAGGTGAGTTGTTCCTGCTGGTAGCTGAGGGATGTTTGTTGACGTTGATCAGATATCTGATGTGGATACGGGTACAGAGGCAACTACGAAAAAAACCGAGATGGAGGACAGTGATTCGTACTTTCGAAAGGAGCAAATTAGATGAATTGCAGTTTCTGAAGTAAATTATGGATATTAGGACGTGGAAGTCGCCGTGAATCATAGATTGTTGTGATGAACAGATAGATACAGATTTGAGGGCACATCAACATTGACGTCCGTTCCAAGCTCTTCGATTGATGGCTTTCTGGTTTGACGCCTGAGATATTAGTGCATTCTGCAGTGTGAAAAAGAATCAGACTCACCGCCACCACATATCCTTCTCAGATCGGACGTCTCTCTCCCACTCCCTTCTTGTTTCGAACACTTCAATTGCTCTCTCAACCGGAAACAGAGGCTTCCCGGCATCATGGCATACCTTTGAAGGCCACATGAAATGGGCTTTCGGATGTAGGCGCGTAATCCTCTCCATTACCGGGCAAATACTTTCGTACTCGGCACCCGGTGTGCCACAGAAACCGCTATCTCTCACTGGGTATGACGGTTGGAGAATGATTGTAATATTCGAGGGTATGTCCATCCTATTAAAGATCAGCCCATGAAACCCGCACACAAAAATAGACTGACCGAATGATTTTACGTTCTGGGTCAACACCCACTCTCTAAGAGCTTCTACGACACCTCGAGGGACATAACCGGGTTGAAGCTCCTTGGGGAGCTGGTCCATGCTACTGAACCCGGTGATCCGGATATGCATGAGATTGGGTAAGAGTCGCGAGAAATCGTGGAGCGACGGTAGCGATGATAGTATACGCAGATGCGGATGAGTGACCGACGGGAACTTGTATGAATCAAAAGGCAACGATTGAGGAAACGTCTATCATCTCACGACGAGTGAAGATGGTAAGCTCTTTCAGTTTGGGGAACGCTTGTTAGACAATGCTGAGGCGCGTGGTGTCGCCACGCACGGGCCAACCAGAATCGTCCCAGGGTGGCTCCTTGTATTCCAAGTACGATAGGGCTTCTAATCCAGGCGCCACTCTCCCCAGAACCTGGCCCAACAATGCCTGCTGGCGGAGTATCGCGTACTTCAGTTTGATATCTTTCTTCGCCTTATCGTGTCTCTGTTTCTCACCAGCTACTCTTGACAGATGCTCTTTGTCTTCTTTCGCCAGTTCCTCTTCTTCTCACAGTCTTGCCGCGTTCTTTCGACGGCAACCCCAGTTGTAATCCATCTCTTCATCATATACTTCTACGCCGAGGTTTGTTTCTACCTCATGTGCGGAGAAGTCGGAAATCAAAAGCCGCGAGACGCGAATTGTTGAGTTAGATTCGAGATGCTCGACCAGCTGCCCAAGGCCATTGTCGAGACCCGTGACGATGTAAACGCCCTTGGAAGGGTTGGAAAAATCCAGATTCTGACTCGCGCTAGTCATGGCGACGATTGCAAAGATAAAATGTGCAGATTTCATTACCCTTTAGAGTAAGAAAGAGAGTTTGGTCGTCAAGCATAGCCGAGTCCGGATGTGACTTGATGATGGAAAGAAGGTGACTTGAACGGCCGAGCTTGATTAGGCAATGAACGCCGCCGCTGCTACTACGTGCCAAACGTCGATGATCAAGTACTCTAATGTATCACAAACAAGCTCTCTGAATCGCCCTGGAGAAAATTCAAGGACCTAGTGTACAACTAATTTTAGTGAAAAGATCCGGGCCCAGTCCCTCTACTAACCGACCATCCGATTCTCCATGGAAACTCCCATCAGTCTGCAAGAATATATATACACTGGATATTTCCCTTCGTCAGAAGAAAGGGTGGTAGGTATATGGGACCAAATGCTCACAATGTGTCGCACTCTGTGCCTCTTCCTTTATATCCTCTTTGGATACACCAACGAGACAGGTCATGCACTCGGCGTAGGCCTTTCCGTTATCATTGGAACATATGCACCCCACATCCGACAGAGTGCAGGCCTAACAGCGAAAATCAAAGAGAGGTATGGGAAATGGGAAATAGCAGACGCACACCAAGTTTATCGACTACCGTGCACTGATTTTCGCATGTTGCAATCATTAATTCAGACAAGTCCGAGGCGTCAAGCGGGTTCTCAAGCACACGTTGTATCGGAGGCACGACAGAGGAAAACGCTAGACATTACGAGTCGGCCTGAGTTAACGTCTGTGGCCTCAGGTGAGACTCACCTCCGTGAACGATCAAGAGAACCGAGAATGCGCTAACAAGGGAATGGCTGATGAGCATTGTGGGTGGGTGACGCATAATATTGGCACAGTTGACACGACCTTATATATATTCTGAATGTAGCAAGGCTGTGTACTCATAACGAAAGGCTTACCGTGTATCACACTGGCACATCATGGAAAGTACCTTTGGTTTCCGGGCTGCAAAGATTGATTCCCGCAGAATATAAAGACCAATACATTTGAGGAGAGATTTGTTATCTCGCAACAAACCAGCTGACGAGATAGACGCTCACATCTATACTACTTTGGTGGAAATCAACTAGATCAGGAAAGTACTAGTCTATGACTGTTCTATGATCTCGTGTCTTGCCAGTATAGTTGAATGCAATACATCGCGCTATTCCGTAAGATGGATTGATATATATATATATGCGTGTGTGTGTAGTTTAACTTCCGAGCATAGTAAGACTGCTAAGACGAACCTTCACTTAGATCAATGCATGGATATCTCCACAGATAAATATGCACACTGCGTCCAAAACTAGCCGCTTGCGCACGGAACCCAGGGTTTCGGACTGGTATAGTTGCTAGTAGTTTACCTGCCCCCCCCCTCCACGGCTCGATAACTTATCTGTCGTGTGATGATAGATGAGTAGCCATGTCGCCCTATGTCACCACTATACTCAATCCTATTGCATTCATATTTATTTAAAGCGTTAAGGATGTCTCTGTAGCGATTTTCAACAAATCACGCGGCAGGAGAATGAAAAGTGTGTAAGATAACACGAAGATGAAGAGAATTGCAAATGCCGCACGGCAGTCATGTGAGGGCTACAAATAATATCGGTATGATTTGTTAAGTCACGGTAACCGTATCAAAACACCTCCCTCGCAGAAAGGTCGTTGCAAAACCGTATCTTACACCCCGAGGTGCTGGTGCACACTGCACACTCATGGCCTAGACTAGGGTTGCGCACAAAACCCCCAGTTTTGATACACCCCGGTTTCGGACTGGTAAGTTACTGGTTTCTTACCAGTAAGATACCTCAGGTCGGTGGAGGGTATTTCGTTTAGGTAACTTACCGCCTACGTGACAACATTATTGCCAAATTTTATTTCAAACCATAGCACCTCTTTCCGACAACAAGCTTGTCAATTCCTTAGAGAACGATGCTATACTTCAAGATTATAAAATGTTGTAGCTACCAGCAGATACAGCAACACTGAGAGGAATGGTGCTTGCACATTGATCCTGGTGCTGTCGATGATGTTTTTCGAGGATGCAACGAGACCTAGGTCCATCCACAGAATTCTTATTAACATCAATAAATTACAGGATTCCCTGGCAGATTTTGGATTCGGGAGAAGAGATCACAGACTTCGATGAGTTTGAAGATGTAGCCCAATAATTCTGATTGGTATCAGTACAAAATTTATGATGATTTGAGCTACGACGATGCAACCGTGCATCCGCGCGCTTCAATTTGGAAAATCCCCTGCCGAGGTCACGTGATTAGACATGTGACCGGGAAGAAAAGGTAAATAACCGTACCTGTAAGAAACACCCCAGAGAGGGTCGGTACAAAACGGTATCGAAAACCCCTTGCACGTTTCGTGGGCAGCCCTAGCTTGAGCAATTTTGATTGTGATTTGACATGAAAAAGGAAAAAGAAACAAGCACACTAGGACTGCCCCAGAGAGGCTCGAACTCTCGACCTTCCGATGCCAGAATATAACAGTCGGACGCTGTAACCAACTCAGCCATGGGGCACATCATTTTAAAACTGAACTAGCATAATATCAATGCCATGCGTCGAGATATACAGTTTGAAGGAGTACATACTTTTATAACTTATATTTATACTGATCGTTGAGTGGATAATTAACAATAACGGAGATGCAATACTATCTGCCGCTAAGCGTCTCGCATATGGTTTCGACCATCGATATTGGATACTTGGTAGGAAAACCTATTCTCTTTCAACACTAAGACAGCGGGGCAACTTGAACGGACGTTGCATAAATATGTCGACGATGTCAATCTTGTAGCGACCAAGTTGCATGTCGTCCAAGTGCGGTCTAGATATATTATAATATGCCGCTTGAACTGTCGCAAGACGATCCCGATCGCTGATCCACTCTGCTCGCACCTGGGACCGCTGACGAAACATGGATGAATTCCAAAACGCGACGTCGTGCTATTACGCATTGGCGCAAGAAAGTATCCTTCTCGTACAGATCGTCACCCGCAAGAGGCATCTGCAATTCTTCTCTTGGTCAGATTAAACAACAGTTTCGTACTTCTCAAACTCTTTCACCAATACGCCCCACCTGCCTCCATGCCAAGTCGACATATCTTTCCACTCCTCGCTATCCGCGCCATATACGAGGCGTACCCACAAGACCCACCCAGCAACCGTGAAATCCGCATACGAAAGAATATCTCCCATCACATACTTGTCCCCCTTCCCATACCACGCGTCGATCTTTCCAAAATCAGCCTTCAACTTCGCCCACTCCCTCACTTTATCTTCGCCTTTCGGAATCACATCCTCCAATTTCTTCCCCCCAAAAGCGTTGGCCTCCCTCGTCCTCCTAAAATACTCCTCGCTGTAGGGATTCAAAACGAAATTGGACTTAATAAGCGCGAACTGCCAAAGAGCATCAAAGCGAGACTCTAACGCCTCGTTAAAGGCGTAGAGGAGCGCATCTGTACCCGCCGGGATGACAGTGGGTGTTTGGGGGTAGGTTTTGTCGAGGTATCGTACGATGGCTGCTGAGTCGGAGACAAAGGCGCCGGTGGAGGCATCGTGGAGAAGAGGACACGTGTAGTGGGGTGTTACGCCGTCAGCCTTGGTGGCACTGGCTTGGGCGCCGAGCTTCTTGTACAGGCTTTCGATGTCGGGGTACTCAACCCACTCAGTGTGGTATGGAAGACCTTTATAGTTGAGCGCGTATCTGGATGAAGTATTGAGCAATAGGTACTATATGCGGGGGAGCAAACGAACCTGGCTTTCCAGATGTTAGGCGACCAAGCTTTGGTGGGGAGAGTCGATGGGATGTCGTATAGGGTAAGGGAGGTAGACATTTTGGACGACTGGCATGGTCTAAAGGATTGGTAGATATACTCAAAGGCAGTCGAAGGCTGTGGGATTGATTATCGAGCACGAGGTCGTTATTTCTCGTCACTGGGTATTTTGGGACTGTCATGTGGGAAAGCTGACTGATAAATAGAAGTTAATAACTCATAAGGAGTACTCTCGGACCTCCGTCAGCGAAAGATTTGAAAGCAAAACGTGACTAGGCTGGTGACCGTCTCTATCAAATTGTCCGAGTTGTGGCAGGTAAGAAATCTCATCCGTGTAAGGTGGTGAGAGATGATTCTATGATTGTTCTATGGCCGTGTCGATTTCCTTTCCCTTCCAAGGTCCAAGGCAGGGAATTAGAGAGAACGACTGCTATGAACATCACTGCTTACGAGAATAGCCACCAAAATTGAAATTACATACGGAATTGTGCCCCCGTTTGCCTTGGAACCCACATAGATCGACATCTGATTTCATAGATGAAACTCCGAGAGTGTATGAACCGAAAAAGACGTACATCATAATTGATCATTCCCTCTAAATCTGATCATCCGTTCGTAGAACTGTTGGAAAATGTCATGAACGATCTTCGTGAACCTACAAGCAAAAAGTTTACCCAGAGCAGCCCTGCGTGGCATTCGACAGTTAGTCGTTCAGGACACTGTCAAGATGGGACTCGACCCTGTCTTTACCGATACCACTGACAGAGATACCCAACACTGGCGCGTCCGTCCTAGCCCGTGAGTTTGTCGCAGGTGTTATTCAGGAGATGAAACCACGGGCCTAACCTGAAGCCACACCCAAGTCCATATATCAAGGTGACGGCGTACCCAGATTGCAGCCACGTCGGATAATCTTATGTCGCTGGATACGGAACGCCATGGATGCCCGAGCGCTCGTTGTTCTGTAAGCTAAGGACGATGGGGGTGGATCTCCGCTGAGAAATAATACGCGGAGGAACAGCAAACACGGATCGAGACCCATGTTCGCCCTGAGGTCATAGCCGTCCTCATCGCTGTTGTCGACCTTAGAAAAGGGGAGCCAATTAACTAATGGAAACACGGGGGGGTAGGAAGTTCAACGTACGGTATAGTGTTCAGAGTGAGACTGCGCGCTGCAATACGACTCGGGAAGCAAACGACATTCTAGTGACACCACAGCGCGCGCGACGTGTTTGGTACGTTTCCAATTCTCAGCTAAATCTTCTTATCCGCTTGTACGAAATTAGGATGACCAAAGCGTTCTAAAGGGTGCCGAGAACTTTGCGCGTCTTAATGGCACTCGTGTTGTTAAATCCTGTTGGTGTGTATTCCATATAAATTTGTTAATTCAGGATGATAGGGAGATTGTAGGTAGGAAGTGCAATGGTATCCTCCTGTGCTAAGACATTGAAGATCCTCGAATGAAGTATACACACATAGGACTCACCTCCGATGCTAGGTACACCTCGTCATATCAAATCTCGGGAATCCGCATCGTCGTATGGCGCCAGACGCTGTCACGAGATGGCACAGAAATTGGCCCGTGCTTGCGAGATAATGAACCGACTACTGGTAAACGAGGATTACGACCCGTTGATTTCGACGCGCCATTCGTTCAATGAAGAAGATTGGAGAATCATTGAGGATTTAGACATTCAATGATATCTGTCGTTCGACAATGCTGAGTCACATACGCTCGGCGGCATATAGCAACTGCAGGTCACAGGCTGCTTTAGTTGAGATCAATTCATGATCCTTGAGATGTCATTTCGATAACTACGACTTACCGTACGTCTGGACAACCAGCTGCCTCGTTTAGCTGCTCCTTGGAAACCGATAGGGTCTACTTGCAAAACTCGATTGCGTAGGCCGATTGTAGCACAAATAGTTCGCATACAAGACGCCCAAGTTTGGGGATGGTTGTGCAGAGTAGGATGGCCGGAACGACTATGCGGGCATTCAGCTAGAAAGGACTGTGGAGGTCCGAACGACTCACTTAGGACTGCTAACGCTCCAGAAGGTGTTAACCTCCTAACAACCAGATGCCCGCTACTGACGAATATTGCCCGTTTCCTCGCTGCAGATCCATTTCCTGTTTTATTTTCTGCCGCCCAACGGCATCAGGTGCAACAACGGCACACATTCAATGTATGGCAGCAGAATGTGATATGTGACGCGACAAGACAAAGAGCGAAAGCGGAGGCGGAGATAATGGTGGTAAGAGATCAAAAAAGTACTCCGAGTCCTTTTCCCACCATCATCAATCTTTCACCAACATGGCCTTCAAGTTTCTCCTGCTCGCCCACGTCGACGGAACCATGATGGAACTTTTCAATGGTTGATTTCATTGACGTCTTCCAGTAATCTTCCTGCAACCCGGACGAGGAAATTCGAGGAAGAGATCGCCGAGTCTACTGTCTGGGAGCTTGGCACGGCCGCATGCACTTCCTTTATTAACGCTTCTTATCGAGAGACTCGCCTACGAGAATCGCTTTTCGGGGACGTGTGGCGCATATCCATGTAGAGAAGGAGGTGCGGACGCGCTTAGAGGGCATTGTGATAACGTATGTCGGTGCGAGTTCCACAGAATGGACCACATTCGTGCCGCATCACTCTTAGAGATATATCTCTGCTTACTCTCCCCTGAAAATGGCACACTTCTCGCATTGAAATGCACGTTCATCTGGATCGCTAGCCGGGACAACAACGCCTCGACGTTCCCCTTACCGTCATTCTGTTCCTGCCACTGCCTTGTGGTATCCACGACCTGTTGCAGATATCGATATCTTGTCTTTCACCTTCTGTAGATGCACGTAAAACAAGGACACCCCCACTCAAACTGTCACCCTCTTTCTGACACCTGCGTTCATTCGTTTGTTCTTCTGCCAATCGACTCTCGAGCTCGAAGCCACATATGAACACCGCATATCCAGTCTCGTTACACCGGCAAACTAAACAATGGCAACTGTCCAATGTTTATACGGTATCTCTATTAGTTTCTTTCCTGCCGATGATCGTTTACTGACTATTGCTTTGCAGGGTATCCATCATGACTCGGACGGCGGACCCAGCAACGAAACCCGATTCGCAGGAAGCTCTTCTCCGAAGGAGCGTCTAAATAAGCATACTTACTTACGATGGGACCCAACAAGAGCTGATACCGTTCCGTCGCGAAGAAGCAAAGCACTGATTGGACAGAAAATCGCTTCGCAGGGCCAAACCCCGGGATGGCCCGTGAACTCGTTCGTATGCTCTTTCGGTATCCTGACAGCTTCTGCTGCTGACTTCCATGCATAGAGCCTACTTACTGATCGCGTCGTTTCTGGGGTGCGTTCGTCTTGGTGTATGTCAGAGGTGGTCACGCCAACTAGTCTCACACCTCATGCTTGGCACGAAGAACGGGCTTTTCTTGCAAGTCGGATTTCTTCCCGGACCGAGCCGTCGTAGGTGGCCAACTAAGCATCTTTATAGGCTGTTCATCCCCTAGACCTCATAGATCAATCGATGGGGGTATACACGTTTGAATGTCCATCCGAATTCCGAACACGAGGATGGTGACTTCCCACTTTGAAGAAAGGATCCGCAAAGCCTGACGCGCGAGCCATGCTTAGCTGTCACCAAGTAGAAGTGGACCGACTACCGCTCGGTCTCACGAGGACATACAGTACTCCGAGGGCAGCCTTTCCCTTCACAGCGTCGCCGCT